GAGTGTTTCTGAGTCGACACATAAATAAGAGCGTTTTCGGAGCACATTTGGTGCTCTCTCTAAGCATAGGGTCATAAAAAGCTCTTATGTCTGTGCATATTCTGAACGATGGTAAGTAAAATCAAAGTAAAAATTGCGATTAAAATAACGGAATGCAGATTCCTGAGATAAGCAAGATGATTTAAAATGCACAAATTTACTTAGTTTGTGCAATACGCAAGTTCAAGTCGGACTTGTTAAGTGAATACAAAAAAAAGTGTAAATTTTATATTTGATAAACTATAAATTATGAGTGTGCAAAGATCGAGCCGAAGTGAATCTAAAAACAAAAAAAAGGAGCTAACTTCGGGCGGAGCCGAAGTTGATATACCTTGCAGAATATTCTGTAAATTATATTCTTCCAAAATTGTTATATGATGCATTCTTAATACTCATAAAAATCCCAACTTCCTAACTTTAAAAACACAAAGTTATGTCATTTCCATTCCAGTTATATTGCAGCTCTAGGATATAGTCGGCCGATCCTATGAAATTTGGCAGGTCGGATTGATTGGCCAAAAATAAAACCCATAGATAATCCCAACTTCCTAACTTTACAAACACCAAAGTTATGGCATTTCGATCAATCAGTTATATGGCAGCTATAGGATATAGTCGTCCGATCCTTATGAAATTTGGTAAGTCAGACTGATTAGCCAAAACTAAAACCCATAGAACTTCCTAACTTGCTAACTTAAAAACACCAAAGTTATGGCATTTCCGATCGTTCAGTTATATGGCAGCTATATGATATAGTAGCCCGATCCGGCTCGTTCCGACTTATATACTACCTGCAATAGAAAGACAACTTTTGGGAAAGTTTCAAGCAGATAGCTTTAAAACTGAGGGACTAGTTTGCGTAGAAACGGACGGACGGACAGACGGACAGACGGACGGACAGACGGACATGGCTTGATCGACTCTCCTGGTGATGCTGATCAAGAATATATATACTTTATAGGGTCGGAAATGTCTCCTTCACTGCGTTGCAAACTTTTGACTGAAATTATAATACCCTCTGCAAGGGTATAAAAATATTAAATGCCCTGAAGAGCAGAGAGGACCTAAACAATTCAGCCGAATTGTGTGAACAAATGGTAAGACTAATTAAAATTGTGGTTAAATATCCATCAAAATTATGCTGTCTATTTTTATTTTGTAGGAGACAGAAATTAGGAAGTATAACATTTCCGATCCTGCTAAATTTCTGCCACAATGTGGAAAAAATGTTTACGGATGAAACTGCCTCTAAGTTTTCGTGGAAGGGCACCAAAATCTGTGTCATGAGCTTGGCAATAACAACAGCAGTTAGAAATAAATATTACATTTGAAAATTTTGACTTTAATCAAATTTAATATTTTGTATTTAATTCTTTATTTTATTACTCTTTTTTAGGTGCTTTTAATCAAAAATTTGCTGTCGACGATAAGCAATTCTCATTAATATGCAGCAAATTGTTTCTAACTGCCAATGATAGAATTAAATATTATAAGAAAGCCGAAAAAAAAATAAAACAAAATATATAAAAGTTTATGCTTATAGGTTTAAATTTAAGAATTAATGTTTAAGTTTCTAATATTACATAATTTAAATTTAAGAATTAAGTTTAAGTTTCTTATATTTCATAATTTAATTTTGTCACTGTGAGTTCGACATTTAATCTTATTTTATCATCTTGAACATATGCTTTTTTTAATTTGTATTTCTAAGTCTTGTTAATTTTGAGTAAAATAAATATTAATTATAAAAAAAAAATGTTAATATTTTCAATTTGTTCAAACGAAAAAGAGTCTGAAAAGAGCCTTTTTCGTTGAGATTTGAGTGGCTTAAAAGGGTACTTTTTGAGCCTTTTCTGAGGGGTTTTCTATGCTTTCATCGGAGGGTGAAATCACTTATATCTGTGTCAGAAAAGAGTCAGATCGGACTCAGACCGTTTTCAAAGAAAAAAACACTCTTTCCGGACTCTTTTTTGCACACTTTATGACTGTAAATGCTCAGAAAAAAGTATCAGAAAACCGTCAGAAAACGCTCAAATTGCTTGCTGGGTTTTTGCCGTTGACGCCCACACGCACCTATATACCTATACCTATACCTATATAACCATTGAAGGACCTGTGCACAGGATAACCCCAACTGCTGTTTGTTGTTGTTGTTGTGGTGCTCCTGTCAATGACTTTTCATAAGCTTCATTTTGCTGACAGTTCATATTACCAGATTTCTTTCCCACACTGCCAAAGGTGTTTGGTTGTTGAGTTCCTGAAAATTGAATGTTTAGTGGGGAGATTGAGAGGCAGAAGGGGGCTCATCAATAACTTGTAATTAAGGAACCCTCATGGGAGGTGTGAACGACTCCTTGGCCGATTAGAGTACATTCCGAACAAGCAAACAAACAAAAGCAAACGAGTGCCAGCAATTTCCTCTCACTTTCTATCTATCATTCGAGGGAGATTTGGATCTTGAGCCGACTTTCCCTCATAGTTCTGGGGCCACAATCCTTGGTGGTTCAGTGTAATTTAGATTTATGCGCCCCGCGGCCGCTTCCACCCTCGTCCACACGGAGAAAAATGTAGTAATTATTAATAATAAATTTAAAAGGCTATAACAAATTAAATTATTATTATTAAAAAAAGTTGAATTTATTGTTTATAAATATTTTATTATATATGTGGTTTAGTTTTACGCATTATGTCCCTTACAAAGTGTTTAAGCTTAAATAAAAAGTTTTTTATATTGGTTTAACATTAATACACTCATTGAAATACGTAACATTTATGGACTCAAAATTGCACTTAATATTTTATTGAACCTGCTTGTTTTAAAAAAATGTAAAAAGTAGAATTTTTTAACTTGACAGACTAAAACCTACTGAAAGCTTAGCGTGAAGAGAAGAAAAAGGTCCATACAATAGTTTAAATAGATTAAATGGTGAGCTGTTTGTATTAATAATAAATTTTTTTATTTATTTTTCATTCCTAGTAAAATTCGTAGACACTAGAAGATTTAACTTTAAAAAGATTATAATTAAATTAATTATTCCATTTTCACGTTTATTTATAATCATGAGATATATGGGTTTAGATAAAAAAAACCATTAGATTAACAATCCCATCGCCCTTTTCTCCGAGTGCAGCTTATCCGAGCATCTTGTATCGGAGTCCATCTATAGCAAGTCAAGCCGCATTGCGCGTTGATTATGGTTGATTTATATGACAGGCCAGCCTCCGCCGCAGAGCCTGCCATGAGGGCTGTCGCCGTTGCCCCCGGAGATGTGTTAATCCATCGCAGCTAGGACTACACGGACTATGTACCCGACCGCCGGGTCGCCGTTGTCTTCGGTGACTTTTGACTTTGGTTCCGTTTTAATTGAGCGCCAAAGCACGGCTGTCGGAGCACGCCCCCATAAATCAAGGCGGCCAGTCGGCCTGTCGGCCTGTGAGTTATTCACTCAGCCACAATGTCCAGCTGTCAATCATTTACGTAGTTTGGTGCGTAAAAAAGGAAACGACAATTTAACGGCAGTAGTGCCCCGCTCCTGCTTCCCCCAATCAGCCGGAAAGATAGGGCTTGGCTGGCCCGATTAAGGGGGACGGCTACTACCCTTTAAAGGGAAACTTCATTAGACCAGAAAGGCAGAAAGGCAGCCGCTTTTAATGAGCCCTCAACAGATTCGGCCAAAGGAAAGTGGGTAGTGGAAAAGCAGAGGCACGTGACATGTCAGTTGGAGATTCCCTTTATTCCCGGCGTCAAGCTGCGAGCCTGCTGCTCCTGCTGGTGATGATTTTTTGGATTGTGAGACATGGGAAGTTGGTGAAATCTTGTGATGCATTAAAATTTGCAAGTTTTGACTTGGCTTTGTCTGTGTGTGTGTGTGTGTGTGGGTGGGGAAAGTGGGCGGGGGTCCTGTGTCTGAGTGCGTGTGAGTGACAGTTGTGTGTCAGTGGCACGCTTTTCCATCTTTCGGGAGAATTTTCTTTACACACACACACACACACATAGTCACCAGCATTTTATGCAAATGTCGCTTTTCTGCGTAGCTGCCTCGCTTTTTAATGAGCACACACCCACAGAGGTTGGCACCACACAACCACATTTTTCCGCTTTGTTTGTGTGTGTGACTCGAGTCCTGCGACTCTGAAGCAATTAAAATGAAATAAGCAAAGTTTTTTCACCCGACAAACAAATTTTCACTGCAACGTTAAGACAAATGCAGAAATGTCATAGCCACACCGAAAAGAAATATCTTAAATTATGATTGATTAGCTGTAATTTAAGTTAATTTAGAAAATTTAAGTCGCATCAGGAGAAATGTCTTTCTTAATCTTTTTTGAAGAGGAGTTGTAATATTTTTTAATTTAGCAAACTTGTAACTTATTATTTAAAGGTTAACTAACTATTTTCTTTAAATGGCGTAATTTGTTGAAAGGATAATACTTGGCTATTAGCCTTGAATCAATGCAAAATGTTCTTGATATAATCTTCTAAATCGATATTCAAGCTTTATAATTACATGTAGAGTAGTGAAAGGAAAATTGTGTAAAAGGTTGAAATAAAGGCGGTAAAACTCTCCCGTTTCAGGTTAAAAGCCCACTTGCCACTCAATCAGCTGGCTTCAAGTATTGCTTTGCTTTAAAAGCATTTGCAATGCCCCCTGCCCTCGCGGGCACTGTCATTTATGAGTTATCCTTCAATCCTATTTGCGCCTTTTCTTTTCCACAGCGCTCAAGTGGAAGTGGCCATAGCATGCGAATACGCCATGTGCATACACTCATAGCAAAATTAACCCTAAATTAGAAATTCGCCCTAAAACTTTTTTTTCTAAATCCAAGAAAAGATTTCTATTTTCAAGAAATTTTTCTCAAAACCAAGAAAACTTTTCTTAAATCAAAGTGTTTCTCAAATGAAAAATTGTCGCCATAAACTGAACTCACCCTAAATCCAAGAAAGAATTTCTATATTTTAGTAAAATTGTACTTATTTTTATAAATTTTTCTTCAAATTAGAATTCTGCCCTAAAAAATTATTTACCCTAAAAATAGAAAAATTTTCTCAAATTAACCATAAAAAACGATAACCCTAAAAATAGAAACGCTTTAAATATAGAAATATTTTCTTAAATATAGAAATATTTTCTTAAATATAGAAATATTTTCTTAAATATAGAAATATTTTCTTAAATATAGGAATATTTTCTAAAAATAGAAATTTATCCCAAAATATAGAAATATTTTCTATAACATAGGAAACATTTTCTAAAATGACCAGAAAATTGTTCTAACCCTGTCCGAGTAGCCTAGGGTTAGAACGTCTGACCAGAAATCCAAGCACCGCAAGTTCAATTTCAGCTGCCGACATCTTTCTTTTTTTCTTTTTTACTTGTGTTATAAACACAGATGAGAAGTAATGCTTAGAACGACTTAATGTTTTACCCTTTATGGAAAAGTAATTAAAATATTTTTTGTCATATGAAATATCATCTAGAAAATTTATTTTAAATATTTCGACTTTCACAGTTGTCGACTTAATGTTCTAAAACTTTTTTAACCTAATATTTTCGTAAACGCCCATCATATAGTCTTTGTTTGCCATGCGCCCTTCGCGCCACCGTGCTCCATTCAATGTCTTTGAACTCACGCGCGAGACCTGGGTTCGAATCCCACCGACGGACAAATAAATTAAAGTTTTTCGGATAAGATACTTATCGGATTTTACTTGTAAGAACAATAAATCATAATTGTTCTAATTTCTCCTCTCTCTTCACCACAGAATTACAGTTGAAGTCGATATTGGCAATTCATGACAATGCTAATACAAAATTGGTGACTTTTCTGAATGAAAAGCGAAGTGCTTAAATCATATATGTACATATAATATACACATACATAAATCCTGAATGAAAAAATTACATCATGATGAATGTAAGCACATTTTTTCTAATTTTAGGAAAAAAATACCTTACATTTAAGAAATATTTTCTATTTTTAGAAAAGTTTTTCTTGTTTTAGGGCTCTTTGCCTTAGATTTTAGAAAAGAACGACCTTGATTTTAGAAAAATTTACCCACAATTTAAGGTGCGATGCCTTTGAAGTCAAAAATAAGGCGAATTTCTTG